GAAGTTGAACAAAGCGGCGGGACCAGATGATCTTCCTCCAGTCCTTTTCAAATTCGGAGGCTCTGCTCTTGTTGATGCTTTACATGAATTACTAATGAAATTGTGGGAGTAGGAGACTGTCCCAACCGACTGGAGCCGCTCCGTTATTGTTCCCATCTTCAAAGGAGGCTCGCGTTCGGAATGCGGCAGCGTTAGAGGAATCAGTCTGATCTTCATCGCCTCCAAATTACTCGCCTTCATAATCGTTCACTGACTGACTGGCGCTCGTGAAAGCCAGATTCGTGAGAAGCAAGCCGGGTTTCGTCGGGGTCGTGGCTGCATGGACCACATCTTCACCTTGCGTCAGTTGTTGGAGCACTGTCACACATTTTGTCGGTCCACTGTAGTCGTGTTCCTCGACATCAAAGGTGCCTTCGATTCGGTTGATCGATGTGCCATTTGGAAGTGTCTACTCAGGAAAGGTGTGGCCGAGAAATGTGTAAATGTTATCGGAGGATTATACACGCGTAGCACGGGGAGAGTGAGGGCTTACGGCAAGTTTTCGCCGCCCTTCAATATCTGCAGCGATGTGAGACAAGGATGCCCGTTATCACCTTTCCTCTTCAACTTCGCTATTGACGAAGTCATGGTGATAGCATTTACAGGACATGACTTGAAAGGTGTGGAGCTACTCCCAGGAGAACGACTTCTTGACTTGGAGTATGCAGACGACATTGCCCTCATCTGTGACAGCTCCCAGACGTGCCAAACCGCGCTGGGCAGATTAGCACTGGCTGTCAGCCGCTTCGGGCTTTACTTTGCACCATCGGACTGCAAAGGTTTCCTCCAATATTGGCAGGGATCGCCTCCTGCGCTGACCCTCGGTGGGGATCAGCTAGAAGTCGTTCGGAAATTCAACTACCTGGGAAGTTGTAACAGCGTCCGCGGGATTGAAGATGAGATCACGAACCGAATATCAAAAGCTCGAAGTGCTTTTGCTAGTCTTCGCCATCTATGGTGGCGGCGTGACATCACTTTCGTCCTGAAGGGTAGAGTGTACAATGCAGCGGTACGTTCGACCTTATCGTGTGGTTGTGAAACCTGGCCCCTTTAAGCAGCGGACCTGAAGAGGCTAGTTACGTTTGACCAACGGTGCCTTCGCAGTTTGGCTCACATCTGGTGGGAACACCGCGTGAGTACCGAGCGTGTTCGACGTCTTGTTTACGGCACAAGAAAAGGAACCGTACCGCTCAGCATTGTCATTTTACACACCAGACTCCGATGGCTGGGCCACTTGTTGTGCATGCCAGCCCACCGACTCCCGCGACGTGCGTTGTTTGCTCACCGGGGATGTGGATGGAAGAAGAGGAGGGGTGGCCAAGCGAGGACTTGGTCGAGAGGAATAAAGGCCCTCACTTCTGAGCTGGCCTCGGTTGGAGCGTCACGGCTCTCTGGTTGGGGTCCAAAAGACGGTGAATACGTTTGGCTGGATACACTTGCTGACATGGCAAAGAGCCGACCTCAGTGGCGTTCGTGCTATGAGTTTCTTTGTCCCTCTCCGTCCCTTTTAGCCTCCCGCTGCACCTATTATCTCATTTCGTAGCCTAAAACATACTAATTTTTCTTTTTGCCTAGTAGCCGGCTGGTAGCTTACCGGAACGATGCCCATTCGTTGCTGGTAGCTCAGCTGGCATGCAACTTTTGTATTTATTTTCCTTTATGTATTGGGGCACAATAGCTGAGGTGTTTTAAACCTCTAGCTAACGTGTATAATGATGATGACTCTGCTTTGAGTGGCCCTCCCTTCATAGTTCGTTGGATTGTTGAGGCACCCAAACCATCGCATCACGTTAAGATACAGTCTCTGCACCACTGGCGCACCCCAGTAGCTCACTGCTGCAGCCTGTAATCAAATTGCGATGGACCAAATAAAACATAACAAATGGTTGGCGGAATCGGAATGATTACCTGACCTTTAATCTTTCCCTCACATATACAATAACTTAATCACGGATAGTATTATGCTAAAACAAGTACTGGGTCATATGAAACTTGGACCCAGATCGTACTTTTGGCTTGTTGTTATAGTATAATTAAATAGTTTGATCACGTTCTGTACAGATCAGTACTAGTTGATGCTTTTGCGAAATTCCTGTTTAAAAGTGCAGGCACTGTTCCGGGTGGTAGCTTGTTCAAGACTGACATACCTGTTGAGGTAAGTATTCGCAGACCTGCTGGTTCTGGAATTGCATTCCGCCGCTGAATTCTGTTTTTTGTGTGTTGTAAACTGTTGTTTGCGTTATCATATTGTGGTTAGAAACATGTATATTTTTGTGCAAGATGTTGAAGAACATGCGCCGTGGCCTGAGCGCATCAAGCTGGAGCTTATCACATCATTCAGAATATTTTACTTTTGAAGAAACACCCAGAAGGCGCTTTGTGAATGCTCTCTATGCTTGTTCCACTGCTATACTGTCGCGCTTTTTTGAGTTGCGTCTAGAGAAGGACCATGAGTGGCTTCCGCTGCACCACCCATAGCTCCACGCACACACGCCGAATATCCATAGGATAGAGGGCATAGTTGATTCAGCCCCGGCCCACACTCTTTCCAGGTACACGTTACTCGTTTGAAATTGGATCGAATATACCTATCAGACGTACACAGTGTAGTGGCTGGCCCATAGTCTTTGCCACACTAGATGAAACCACTTTTTGAGCCCAGCACTGTCACGATGACTGTGCACACCGTCTCCTCCAGCAATGATTAACAATCTTCTGAAGTAGTTATTGGGGCGGTGGTTTTTGACAGCTAAATACCTTGTCAAATTCACATCAAGCGCAGTCAAACGTGGGATGTCACTAGCAAGGGCCGTCAAAAATGCCACAACATACACCCACAGGCCCATGTACAGACCCAGTGCAACGATGATGTAGCACACGTGCCACATCTACCGCATTGTCGGCCTGGATTAATACATAGAACCGTAAACATCGTATCTGCCTTGCGTTGACGCCTGCCCATTCAACTTAACCATCGCCTCTCCGATGTTGACACCTCGTTGCCACATTGATGACTTGCCAAATCGGCTTGGCTGCTGCATACAGGTTTGCATGTGCTGCAGCAATAGACACATGATGTCAATGGATCAAGCTGCGTTGGCACTTGACGCTTGCGTAACCGGTGTTTTTCTTCCTGATGCAGTAGTCCTTTCTCACGGACCTAGGCAACAGCACTATTGATGTACTCACGTCATCGGCGGCAATTTACTGTTATTGCCTCCCAACACCTCAAATCAACATCAGTTCATGATAAACTCGTTTCGATCATGTCCCGATAGTGTGACTTCGGCTTGTTTACATTTCACTTCCCTGCATGCAATCAGCCATATAGCAGGTGTTTTGATATTCTAGTAGCATCTATACGGTGGGTATGCCTGAGCCATAGTCGCAGTAGCAGTATGCAATCAATTTAGTTCAGTTCAGTTAATTAACTGTGGTTCGAGCACCGACGTGCGGTGGATCCATTTGTCACGACTCACATCGTAAGAATAACAACAAATAACACCGCTAGGATAGGGGGCTGAGTGCAACTAGTATGTACAGAAAATGAAAGCCATAAGGAAATGCATTAGACTAATCAGAATCGAATGCAAATTAACAACCAGATGAAAGAAGCCAAATGTTGGAACGCCACTGCTTTTGTGACTGCGCCATATCTGACGCGGTCTCAAACCATTGGTGTGGACCATCCCAAGGCCCCCGACTACGAAGACGACACTCATCACTCTGGCGAAGTCTTAATCAATTTCTCCAAGTTTCTATGCCTTGTCATCGACTGATCACGTCGCGATTTCATCCAGCTTGGTGCAGCCACGGCGTATAATGTACGCCGAGGAAGTCGATCAACGAGCATACGGAGTACATGGCCTGGCCAACACAAGCGACTAATATTTAGCAAACAATCGTGAGACGTACCAGAGGGCTTCTTGCCAAAGACCAACTGGCGGACCTCAGCATTACTCACCCCCGTGTTCCCACCAAACGTGAGCACTATTCCGCAAGCACCGGTAGTTAAACACGGCCAAGTCTCTGAACCATACAGTAAGACCGGTCTTATTGCAGCGTTACACACCCTACTTTTTTACTGACAAGTTGATATCCTGCCGTCTCCATAGATGGTTGACTTCTGGAAAACCACATGGGCCTTGCTGATACGCGAAGTAGCTTCCTCAGTGATGTGACCATCAGAGGCGACATAGCTACCAAGTAAACCGACCCACCACTTCCACTGGCTGTTCGGAAATATCTGATATCCTAAGTGTGTCGGTCCCGTCCTGCAACAGCACTTTGCACTTTGAAGATACAAGGTACATGCTGAAATGTACAGCTCTATGCACAACTCTACGCAGTAGAGTCTGTATAGTCCGTGCAGCATAGTAGTATGCAATTCCGGGAGCTCACTTTGAAATTAAGAAGTGCCACATCAACCGATACACATTATCCGGCGCAGGCATTGCTCCATTTTTACAGTGTCCATCTTTCTCTGCAGTGGAGAAGCACGGTTAGTACGATAGATTTTTTCCTTTCACTTGGTCCCAACGGCTAGATGATGATTTTCTCCCACCTAATATTCCGGCTTACCGAAACGCGCAATCGTCTTCGAGGTTGGCGCGTAGCTGGCGTTTCATCTGCAGGCAGCAACATTTTCACGAACTTTCCAAAACTTCAGTAGCAATTTTTTGTTAACATCTCGCGGACTCCATTCCTGGTGACTGCTGGAAAAGACAGCCAGCCGAACCTGTACTGCTGGTGAGTCCGAAGTTGGCAGCTGTCGAAGCGAGAGCCGTCGTCATAGTTTAAAACTCATCATTGCTGTGTGCAAATAACGCGCAGCGGTCTGCAACCAATAGCACTCGGGTTCCCTCCCCGGGGCCTAAGATCAACATCGCATTCACAGACATTGAAAGCACATCATGGTAGTCAGATAAATGCTAAACAGAGTAGGGGCTAAGAATCAGGCTTTATTCATACCAGAGACAACGTCGAAATCATCCGAAGTTTGTCCACACAGCATCACCTTCGCTTTCATGTCACTGTGAAGGCATTCTGTCAGACAACCAAACTTAAATGGATATCCGAACCTACCCAACATCAGCCACACTGGCTTCTGGTTTACTGTCTCAATAGCTTTGTTGAAGTCGACGAACAAGGGTTATTTTACTTCATGACAATTCTCCGGCATTGAACGATCCTCGACCACGTTTGGTTCAAATACTTGAATGACGAGGCAGTCCAGCAGAATTCTGACAATCACTTTTCGGACGCAACTAGTTGTTGGTATATTGCTTACTTTCTTTTTCCTCATACATTGATAACACAAGAGTATCCTTGAGTTCAACACAGGTTTGCTTTGCAGTCAAATGCATTTTACAAAGTGATGCAATGTATATAGCTTTGCGTGTCCGCTGCTTTTCAAAATTCTGACGGAATCCTATCGGCATTGGCAAGTATTCTGTATATTTCATTCGGCCCTGGGGTATCTGCAACACCCATTTTGTTTTGTTGTTGCAGCCCGTTCAAGGTGTCATTGTCAATCTCTGGACGGTTGTACAAGATGCAGTCATAGTGATAGCGCCATGATGTCTGCAGTCTGAGTGCAGGCTTAATCCTCGAAGTAGCGTTCTCATAAGCTGCAATGTGGGTCTATGCACGTCCTTCAAGGAGCCATGGGACGGCTTATACTGAAGGCGTTCGTTGTAGTATTCTATCTATGTAGCCGTCTCCGTTCACCGTATAATCTTTTTGCGACGCGGCTTTCTAGTCGATCGCCGATACATTTTACGAAATTTATTCTCCTCTGAACCTTAAAAGTCCTCCTCATGTCAACAAAAACTGCATTCTTCTCTGACCTCCATGCGCCACTAGTTGCACTGTTGTCCTCAACTCAATGTTCCATGTTGCTTCAGGTGGTGCCACAGGTTGCTCACCGAATCAGTGGCGTCGACATAGCCAAGGCGGATATCCATCGCGTTTTTTTATTTGTATTTCTCAGTAGTATATGGAAGACGAAAATTAACTCTACCGGTTACGACAGATGAATGAAACATGAATTTATAAAGTATATGTACCAGTTGGTGATCACCAACTTGTGATCGGTTTCATTCTCCTCACTTCCCACGTGTTATGCTGGCGTACGATGAGATAGTCGAACACGTGAGCATGAGCAAGTAGCAATATCACTGTCGCCTGGTAGGAACTGTGCGTTTGTGCGTCGGGCCGTGAATGGCGCAAAGTGAGAGCTTGAGCAATACCAAATGACCTGATGGCGTCCTTCCACACCGCGACATCATGCCCAACGCGCGCGTTAAAATCACCCAGTTGGAATAGCCAGTCGCTCCACGTTGCAGACGGTATCACGAAAAGGGATTGAGAGTGAGACTGATCTTACGTGTCATCCGGAAACTCCCTGTGGGAGGATACATGTTAATCACAATTACCAACTTACCCCATTCGAAGCATAGGCGAAATCTCACCAACCTTAAGCTGAAGCTACCCGGCTCTTGCATCAATATTCCATTTATGCGATCGGATATTGAAAATCGAGCTCCATGTATGTATATGTGCACTAAAATTGGTTTCCTTGTGAACAGTTGTGCAGTCTCTCAGAATTGATCTATTCCTTGGTTCATCGGGAATCATTCTAGCAAGGTTTTCATTCTATCCGATCCCATATGGCTTTTCAGCTCAGGCCTCTAGACCCTGGTTATTTCGAGTTGTGCGCTGTTTTCGGATCACTTACTTTTGCATTAAATGCTTCTTCTGTAACTCCACCTTGGTACTCCGTTTTCTTTCACTTTCTGCCATCATCTTGTGACCTTTGCTGTCATTCGTTCATCTTCGCCCTTTAAAGTTATCTTGCGTTAGAAATGTATGACAAAGCAGTGGAAGAATGGTCTAACATTGTGAAGATGAGTCCGACGGCTGAGTATAAGCAGGAGCTGCAAGCGGCCGAACGTGAGTTGGCACGATCCAAGGAACTAGACTACTACAAGGTTCTTGGAATCAAGAGACATGCATCTGTGGATGAAATCAAGCAAGCTTATAAGAAGTGCGCGCTTCAGCACCACCCAGGTGAGGAATGGATTGTTTTTTCTCCCATTAAGGAGACAGTCCCATGTTTAATCGCTCCTATTTACTAACATTTTATTTCTATTCCATTGGTGTCTGTACGCAATTTGTTCTTATTTTGAGTTAATTAATTTCGGTTACGTTTTCTCGTCTCACATCTTGCTATCATGCCAGTGATGACTCGTCATCATGGTTTAGCACACTTGCTAGCCCGTACTGCTCCTCGAATGACAATCTTCACACTAAGTGCCGCTGCATTTTCCACACTTATTTCAGATCGTCATACTCATGCCGATGAAAACACAAAGCGAGAACAGGAGCAAAAATTCAAAGAAGTTGGAATGGCTTACAGCGTTTTATCTGACCCACAGAAGCGCCAACAATATGATATCGGGGGGTTGACATGTAGTAATTCAATCAACAGTACGTTGCCTGTTTCAATTCTTCTGATTCACCAATTTTGAATTCATATTTGCCTACATTGCCGATTTATCCGCTGGTTTTTAAGGCAGTTGCTTTAGTTCATGCGTCTGCACGTCTGTCTGTGCATCGTGCTCCTTTTGCTCCTGTCCGCATTCGATATCTTATACATCGTACGCTGGTCACAAAGATAAGGACGTCGCTTCTATTGCACTTGCTGTCTCACCGACCTTTTGGCTCTTATACCTGGATCAACTAGCGTCGGGGATCACAGTCGCTTTTCGTATTTTTCATGTCCGACAGAATTCTCACTTCCGCTTTCCCCTTGGGGGCATGGTTTTAATTCTCCATTTTGAAAACTTTCGATATGGATGGATCCCAGTAGTGTAATGCAAAATGTATTTCATCAATCATCATTACGTTTTGGAGTACTTGCATGTACCAGCAAAACACGTAAGCGACGATTGTATCAGTTTCCGAGAACTTTTCCATAACTAAATAAATAGATGGTCGAGGCTGTATGAGGCTGCGTGTGGGTTTGCCTGCATGGTTTCGTTCTCTCTCTCATACTCAGCTTGAACCGTGGCTCGCTTCCTAGTTGGCCTTGATCTGGAGAAATCATGGATGTCTCTGTGTTGTGCTCCGTTTTCTTTATCGACAACTCTGTCTTACTTAGGTTCCCATTCTTTGAATGGTTTTATGTCTAGTTTTAGACTGTTGATATATGGTTGGCGGCATACGGTTTCGCATTTGCCTCTCAATGCGACCTCCATAGGACAGTCACAGGACGCCTGCACCTACAGAGGGACCATGGGTGGCTTGCGCTGCACCACCCTCAGCTCCATCCACCCACCCCACATCCAGTGTAAATCCGAAGGAATAAGACCGGGAGATATGTGGACGGGAGCCACGTTACATCAACGGAGCCGACTCACCCTCCTTCAACATACACAGCAGCAGCCTTCCTGTCTATCTATCTGGGGGATCATGCATACCAGAGGTACACCAGGCAATGGCTGGGCCCTAGTCCGCTCCACACTGGATGCATGGAACCACTCTTTGAGCCTAGCACGGCCACGAGGACCATGCACCCCGTGCCCTCAGCAACGATTCACAGTCTTTTCGAGTCATAAATCGAGGTAGAGTGTGTTATGCACATTGTCAGCATTCACATCTATCGCAGCCACACCGGGGATATCAAAAAACCAACACATAATTTGAAGGAAAATAAACACGCAAACTTTACACGGAACATATAACAGAATAGCAGAACTGAGCAAATCAAATAAAATGGAACAATTTTATCCAGATTTGGAAGATACAGACTAAGTGTAAGTCCGTGTAGCTTAACTGCGGTAAGGAGGAATAAGACCGGGAGGCATGTGGATGGGAGCCACGTTTTATCAACGGAGCCGGTCCACACTCCTTCACCATGCGCAGCAGCAGCATTCCTGTCTGATTTGGGAACCATGCATGGAACCACGTAGCACGTTCACGAACACCGTCCACTCCGCGCCCCTCCCCCATCAGTGGTTCACAATTTCCTAGAACCAGTAATCAAGGTGGAGGGTGTTTGACACGTAGGCATCTTGCCAACATTCGCATCAAGTGCGGTCACACCGGGTTGGCAATCAATAGCCAAGACCTGCAATTCAAGTAACTCAGCACGTACACGCAGTCCACATCGGCCTCATTATGCGCCTGGGTAAGTGAATTGGATCGTCCCAGCGAACTTATCACACGTTGTGCCGATGGTGAAAACATACTCAGCTGACTCGTCTTCTCTTCGACCCGCTTGTGCTACAGCACCATGCGCTCGATATCCATGGACTATCCTCCATCGGCACCTGTCGCTTCCGTACCCGGCGTTCCTCATCAGCATGCAACAGTGCTTTCTCCTACACCCGGGCAACTGCCCTCTTGATGCGCCGTCGCCATTGGCGCCTATCAACTGCCTTTGATTCCTAATATCTGAAAACTACATTCATTCGCGATAAACTCACCTTGATCATGCCTTAGTAACGTTGCTTCGGTTTTTCCAAGTGCCGCTTCTCTGCACGCAGTTGTCCACATAGCAGCTGCTTGGGGATCCGCGTCGAATCCATGTGGCTGATATGCCCGATCCATCTCAAGTGCCGCAGCAGAAATACGCAGTCCGCCGTATACATGACACTGCGGCGCGGCACTTCCATGCCTGAAATTCGTTCACACCAGCCGATGCATAGATTCTTACACAGGCACAGTTAATAAAGGCGCTCCAAATAACGGCCGTCCTTCTGATAAAGCATCTGGTTACACTACCGTACAGAAGAACGGACCGCGCCATCGACCAGTATACATTCAGCTTCGTGCCAAAGGTAAATTACTGATTCCTTTACATACGACATTATAGTTTGCCAAATGCAGCAACCGCCTCCAATACACGGGCGCGCAGCTCGCTCATCATCCGCAGGTCCGTCGAATGTACACTACCCAGGTAGTTTCCAAAATGTCGATACCGATCTGGATTTGGGGCAAGCCCATGGACTTCATTGCTGGTGAATGATAGAAAAGGCAAACGATCTTGCTGGGTTGATGGAGAGTCCGAATTTGTCCGCTGTTGAAGCAAGAGCCGCAGTCACGTGCTTTGTTGGTTGCTTTATTATTTAAGTAACTTACTGTCACCCGATCATCAAATTGTGGCTTAACCCGTGATATTCCTACACCCATATCAAATAGTCGATTGCTGTGAATTCCGAAAGCTACGTAGCTACTGAAGGTGGCTGTAAAGTGGAACTGCACCTGAGGCTTCTGAGAAACAGCTCTGACCGGTGTTGTCCCACTCATCTGGGACTATGAGTTAGTAAATAGTGCACTTCTGTACCTTATCTTTTATGATTCCCGTCATTCCACCAACCCCCTCAACATTTTTTCTTTGTTCTACAGGTAAAATGCATGCTCAAACTCTCTTCACTCAGATGTTCCCGGGATTTGGTGCCACCGGCTCGTCTGTTCACTTTTGTTTCTCCTGAACCCGCCACCTCCATTCTTCACAATGTGTATTTACTTTTTTCACAGGATTTTTCTTTTTTTGTGGCTGTCTGTAGGACATTATTTCAAATCAGCAGTAGCTTCGACTAACTATTGAAAAATTCAGCCCCTTCTTACTTACACTCGCCCTATTTTCCGTTGATAAAATTGTGTACCAATAGTTTTCTTGACTGTGGCTATGCACTTCCAGTCAACTGCTTTGCATTCTCTCATATGTTCTCTTGTTGGGTTAGCCATTTGTTCAATACCAAGCCTCTCATATCGTTGCTCATACTTTTTTCGTGACGGTTCATACAATACACTCGCGGATCCTATGCTTATTCTCGAGTGTTAGTGCCCAATTTCAGTTAAGCACCGATCCCAATGCGATCTATCTATTTGCCACACCTCACTTTGCATTGGATAATAATGACAACTGAAATCGTGGCGAATACTAGGCAAAATGCGAAGGCGCATACAAAGAAACGGCAGTAGTATAACGTTCCAGGAAATTGATCGAGCTGGAATCTGCCTATGGGGCGCATCGAATCTGATGCACTAGCACCACAACACCACGTAGGTTTGGGTTTTAAATTGTTGATTTAGCAAATCCCCATGCTTCCGTCTCAGAAATGGTTACATGCCAACATTAAATTTTAGGCATTTTCCTCATCTCATCTGCTGGTCATTCCGATGTTTTGCTCAGCCAATTGTTATACTCGTTTGGGCTAACTAAATAGTTACTGATGAGTACGAGGATCCAGTACGAACCAGTTAAATAAATAGTTTGTTCTTGACAGTACTAGATTTATCTGAATAGGCATGTCCATGGTAAACTTATCGGTAGATGTCAAAACTTTACCGTAAAATTCTCATCTTCCCGTCTCCATTTCACTTGACTCATCGCCTCTCACACCCCAACTCGCCACCTGAGCGATTGCCGGCGCAATCGTATGCTTCCGCTGAAAGCGCTCAAAATGGGTTGGTAGCATGTACGCCCATTACTGGATCGGAATACGAATGAGCGCCCGCGCGACACACTACACTGGTCGTGATGGAACTCGCACGCTACGGGATTGACATTGCTACACAGTGTGACTCAGCTCGCTGACTAATGCAAGCTGCATAAGGCTGGTGCTGAGTTCACGTTCTACTGGGTGGGGAATGCCACTTTAGCACCACATGAACATGGGGTCGAATTAGCACTATCCGACAGCAAAAATGGACAGCTGTTGGCAGAGCCGACTGGCATCAGCCCAAGATTGATGACACTCCGCGTGCAACTTGGAAGAACTAAATTTGCCACTTTTATTAGCACATATAGTCTCACTATGTGTTATCCTTATGACACGAGCTATCCATTTTACACTCAGTTATCCTCCGTGTTACGGTCTGTGCTGAGGAGCGGTCGGTTGTTCTTACTGGGGGATTTCAACTGCGCTTTGGCTGTGATGCAGTGGTGTGGATAGACATCATCGGTCGATATGGTATTGGCACAATCAATGGGAACGGTGACCGGCTGTTCTGACTGTGCGCCACTCACTGCAAAGCGATCACAAACGCACAGTTCCCGCTGTGTGCGAGTGATTCAGCTGCTTGGACGGACCCACAGAGCGGCCACACTCTCGCTCATCTATTCGACCGTCATGGTACGCCAGCTTGATATGCGTGGAATGCGCACAACGCTTGTACTGCGCAGGGAGCTGAGTGTGGCACTGATCATAAGTTGGTACGGACTAAATTGTGCGTACCTTTTTGTAAGTCCATATGTTTCTCTGCCGTGAATCGGCGGAACTTTAGTGTTCATTCCCTAGTTACTGCCAAGACGTTTGTAATGAAACTGCAATGGCTACCCGTTTTGGCGGTGTCGGCGACCTGTGGTATTACGTCAAAGAACAGGTTTAGTTCCGTTCATTTTAGTTTAACATCCATGATGCGGATCCAGATGTCACTACTCAAGTCATCAGATTAACATTAAATAACTACAGGAAGAAACTGGGGTTGAATGCAAATCGATTGTTTAAAAAGGTGAGTTAGATCTATCAGCATGGAATGAAAATTAACTGCCAGATGCAAGAAACCGAATGCGGGAGCGCCACTATCTGCGTGACTGCACAATGTCTGATATGGTCTCCAACCATTGGTGTGAACCATCCAGAGGCCCCCATCCACGGGGACGGCACGCACCCGCCTGATCAAGTTTCGGGTTATTTTTTCATGCCTTGATGTCACGTCGTCGACTAGCCACCTCGCTGTTTCCTTCCACTTGGTGCGGCCATGACGTATAATACACGCCTAGGAACGCGGTCAACAAGAATGCGAAGGACATGAACTGGCCAATGTAAGCGGTTAAGATTCGGTAATCACTCCAGTGACGCATCCGAAAGCTTCTTGTCAAAAATCAACTAGCAGACCTTAGCATTGCTCACCCGGTGTTCCCACCAGTTGTGAGCAATACACCGTAAGCACCAGTGATCAAAACAGCCGACCGTTTGTTTTCACTGCAAACTGGCCAGGTCTCTGATCCGTACAGTAACACAGGCCTTATGATAAAGTTATACACCCTACCTTTCACTGACAGGCTGACACCCCACCGCCTGCATGGATGCATGGTTGGTGGCATCCGGTTTCGGATTTACCTGTCACTGTGGCCAGCCACAGGACGCCTGCGCTACAAATGCGACAAAGTTACCGAAGATAAGCGCAATCAGCGTAAGCAATGTGGCCAGTTAATAGAAGATTATTCAGGTAGACAGAACAAACCAAATAAAGTGGAATGGAATTTATCCAGCTTGACAAGACCTAGTTTAAGTGTAAGTTGGTTTAGCTCAACTGCGGTGAAGAAGCATCATGAATGCAACATCAGCCTCAGCATGGGTCACACGTACATACATGGTTAGCGGCATCCGGTTTCGGATTTGCATGTCAATGTGGCCAGCCACAGAACGTCTGCGCCTACAGAGGGACCATGGGTGGCTTGCGCTGCACCACCCACAGCTCCAAACACATACGCCATATCCAGTGTAAACCCGAAGGAATAAGGCCCGGAGGCTTGTGGATGGGAGCCATGTTTCATCAACGGAGCCGGCTCACACTCCTTCACCGGCAAACACAAGCACGTTGTATTTGGGGAATCAAGCGCACACAACGCGGTGGCTGGACCGTAGTCCACTCCACACTGAATGCCTGGAACCACTCTTCGAGCCTAACACGACCCCAGGGACACAGCACTCCGTCTCCTCCAGCAACGACCAACTGTCTCCTGGAGCCAGTATGGACGAGGTAGTGTGTAATAGACAGGTAGACACCTTGTCAACATGCACATCAAGCGCAGCCACACTGGGGATATCAAGCAACAGCCAATCGCTTGAAAAGACAAGATGAAATAAAACAAATCGAATAATGCATACAGATATGTTGGCATAACTCATCGCTAAATTACCATATGAAGTAAGTTGGTTAGCAACGAATCCACGATAATGAAAAAATATCCACAAGTTATTTAAAAATGCTACAAACACCACGAAATTACCGAAGATAAGCGCAATTAGCTTAAGCAACGTGGCCGGTTAATAGAACATTATTCAGGTAGACAGAACAAACCAAATAAAGTGGAATGGAATTTATCCAGCTTAACAAGACCTAGTTTAAGTGTAAGTTGGTTTGGCCCAACTGCGGTGCAGAAGCATCAAGAATGCAACCTTAGCCTCAGCATGGGGCACTCATGCATGGCGTGGATGCATAAGCCTCTGGAGAGGTACGTACTTCTTGCTAATATGCGAAGACTCCTCATCAGTGATATGACCACTAGAGGTGACCGCTACAAGGTAATTGAACCGATCCACTAATTTTAGTCGCTCTTTGGTGGTAGCTATACCATTCCTCGACCAAGTTGGCTTCTTACGCAACAGAATTAATCTGAACGGCAAAGGAGTTGCGCTGAGGGGCATACAAGATGAGTCTTGACTCAATTACTTTGAGCTGTGCGTGCGCCGCTCACTTGTGCAGGTGTGTAGGTGTGCGTGTATAGCCCGGCGCCTTCAGCCAATAGGACCTCAGACGCACTAAGTCATTGGGGTGCAGGTGGGACGCTTCAGCTCTTACCAGCTACAGTGTCTGTGGCCGATGCACCTTGTGGGCCTTTGTTTCTCTGTCCAAAGAACCGATTCCCACCAATTAGAACGAGAGTAGGGATTTGAACGACGATTTGGTTGGTATAACGAGCCACAGCCAAATAAGTGCCATGTGCTTTTGAACGTGCAGTTCACCTAAACGCACTGGTTGGCTTGTATGTTCGGCACTCGATGGAAGTGAAGAACGTCATACTGAATGCATACGAGGAAGGAGACGATTGGAAGCAAGTCGCTTGCACACTGAAAGTGAACGTGAAAACTTGCCGCAACTGGATATGGGCGTACGAATGGACGGAACCGTTGGGGCAGCACGGGGGAGTCCGTCGCAGAGCACTGGGAGAGAGCCACGTCGACTCTCTGGTGGAGTGGGTTTCTGCGGAGCCTACTGTTACTCTTGAACTCCTTCGTTTGCGGTTGAAGGCGGAGTTCGATCAATGAGTAAGTACCGTCACCGTCTCACGATACTTGGATGGTAGACTGATAACAATGAAGAAACTGCACACTATCCTGCAGTCCATGAACACGCTGGAGAACAAAAAGCGACGCAGATCATTCGTTTTGCAGCTCATGGATTACGAGGTGGAAGGAAGGCAACCGGTGTGGATTGATGAGACCAACTTCAGCTCATGACCGCTCACGACGTGGTAGTCGAGCGCAGTGTACAGTGGCGAACAGCCGGGGATCGAATGTTCATCTTGTCGGCGCCATGACAAACAACGGCTTGATAACGTGTTTGGTTCTGAGAGGAAGTTACAACAAGCAAAGGTGCCCTCAGTGGCTGCGACAAGTGCTTGATACCAAGGGAGCAGGGTTTATGGAAAGGTGTCTTTTGATTTGTGACCACGCGCCCTGTCACACACACCTGGAGC